ATAAAGAAAATTACAGACCAATTTCCCTCATGAACACTGATGTGAAAATGGTCAAAATATTTGCAAACTGAATCTAGGAATATATCAAAAGATCATCCCCCATGATCAAGTAGGCTTGGTAATACAGGGATGGAAAAAACAAACAAAAAAAAAAACAGGAATGAGGCTCAACCCAGACCCTAAAAAGATGGTTTGTACTCTCTTTTAAGTGAATATTAGAGTGAATATTAGCTGTTAAGTAAAGAACAATCATGATACAATCTACAGACCAAGTGAGGATAAGTAACAAGGAGGGCTCTAAAGTGTGTTTGTGTGGGGGGTGGGGGGACATGGATCTCCCTGGGAAGGGAAAATAGAATAATTGTGCAGTGGACTGTAGCAGGTGGGGATGGAACAGAAGGGATCAAATAGAGGAAAGAGGGACAGAGGAAGAGAGTACAGGGAGAGATGACTGGAACTGGGGACATTTCCACTAGTACAGTGTTAGCTTCCTGGAACCTATGAGGTTGACCCTAGTGAGAACTCCTAGTAATGGAGGATATGGAGCCTGAACCAGCCAACTTCAGTAACCAGGCAAGGTGTTTAGTGGTGGTTCTGGGACACCAACACACCCAGAAAACCTTCAACCCACAACCTACCTATCCTACCTGCAAGAAGTGTCAGAGCTTGTGAGAGTGGCCAACAATGACGGGTCTAACTTGAGGCCCATGCCATAAGAGGAAGCCCATACCTAACACTGCTAGACTGTCAGGAAGCTGCTCAGAGACCTACTGTAGAAGCAAACAGGACTGGCAAAAAAAAAAAAAAAAAAGTCAATGAAATGATTTCTAATGATATTCTGCTAAACTCAGACTGATGCCTACCCCAACTCTCATTAGAGAGGCTTCCCCAGCAGCTGATGAGAGTAGATGTAGAGACCCATAGCCCAACTTTAGGTAAAGCTCAGGGAAACCCACAAAATGTGTGTGTGGTGGTAGGGAGATTGTAGGAGCCAGAGGGGTCGAGGACACCAGGAAAACGTGGCCCACAGAATCAACTAAGCATGCTTCATAGGGGCTCACATTTATTGAAGTGGCAATCACAGAGCCTGCATGGTTCTGCATTAGGTCTTCTGCAACATATTATGGTTGTTTAGCTTAGGATTTTTATGGGACTGCTAACAATAATGTGTGTGTGTGTGTGTGTGTGTGTGTGTGTGTGTTTTGGGTGTTCCTAGCTCTTTTGCCTGCACTGGGGACCCTTTAACTCCTGCTGTGTTGCCTCATCCAGCCTTGATATAAATTTGTGCTTAGTCTTATTACATCCTGTTATATAGTGTTCCATTGATATTCCTTGGAGGCCTGTTCTTTTCTGAAGGGAAATGGAGGAGCAGTAAATCTAGGGGAGACATGTATGTGTGCAAGGGTGTGGAGAGATGGAAGGCTATGATCAGGATGTATTATAAGAGAGAACAATAAAAATGTTGATTTTGATGAGAAAAAAAGTTTTATATTGATGTTGCTGAGTTAGCCTGCAGTTTTGCTTTTCATCCTTGTCTAATTTTCATATGAAGAGCATTCTAAAAGAGTTGAGTTGGAAAGTCTAGCCTCTTTTTTTCTATAAATAACCCAGAATTAGCTGGATTAAGAATTAATCATTTGTTCCTTGAATTTTTTTTAATCACCAGTTGTTGTTTGAATAAAAATGGCCCCCATAGCCCCATAGGGAGTGGTACTATTATGAGGCGTGGACTTGTTTAAGCAGATGTGGCATTGTTGGAAGAAGTATGTCACTCAAACCTTGAAGACATAAAACTTTTCAATTGGTAAGAGTCTGAACCAAATCTTCCTCCTTTTCTCTTTGCTCTTTCTTCCCATCTTGGCTCCAGGCAGGGTACACTTGTGGAAGCAAGTGGCAGTCAGCAACAAAAGCCCCAGCTTTCTGCAGCAGACTGGAAATACAAGTCCCCTTGAAGCAGAAAGTACTGGATAGATCACCAGGAGGAAGAAAAATAAACAGAGGAAGGCAGTACTATAAGGTGTATATAGATACCTGAATTCGTTTCAGAGTCTCATTTCTGACCCTAATCAGCATGCCAAAGACACTGAGAACTAAAAAACAAGACTCTTTAAGCTACTTAATATACACATGGAACCAAGATCAGACTGCCTATCTGCATAATGTAACTTGTGGAATGACCTCACATTCCACATGGTGGTATCTGGATAAAACAAAACCAACAACATTCCTCATAGATATTGACTAGCACACAACCTTGCATATCATGATTGCCAAAATATCCATAATGCAATGCAAAATTATTTGGCATTCAAGGTGCAAGTCTCAACTTGCACGGGAAAAAAAAAAACACTACCCCAGACATTAGGTAAGCATTACTCATCTCTGAATAATAGTTTTGGGTCTTCTTTTCTAATATTTGTATGGAAGAGCATACTCACATGGCAGACTTTAAAACAAAAATTTCACATTCATTATAGAAGTTATAAAAAGTGCTACTATAGAATGTCCTTGTCCTTGCAAGATGTAATTTAGGCAGTGACTTTAAAAAATGAAGGTGCATAAAGCATGAGAGAAAGATAACACAAGTATGGCAAAATGTTTTCTCTCTCTCTCTCTCTCTCTCTCTCTCTCTCTCTCTCTCTAAGTTAACTTGGAATTTACATTAGGCCTAGTAAGATGTTAACAAGAAAAACTAGCCATACACTGTAAAGGCACATTATTACCTCCCTATCCTGAGGTCTCAAGTTTAAGAATGACCCATTACCAGCCACACAGGTCTTCAGTTTATAGACCCATACAAAACTTTTCAGTCTCTATAATTTCACAGTCCAGTTCCCCTAAGAAAGAATCTACTCCCATCTTCCTATCTTCCTTTGTATCTTGTTGGTTCTGCCTCTCTAGGGTACCCAGATTGGACATGCCATGACAGGTATCCATGGGACTATAGTCAAATCAAATAGTTTCAGGTTGTTTAAAAAAAAAAAAGACCCCTATGCTTTACTTATACATCCTCCTTCCCTGCAAACTGGTAGCAACCACTGGCCTTTGTAGAACGTTCATAATCTTCCCTCACTGAGGATGTCATCTTTGAAATCATACATTGAACATAGTTTTTTAAGACTGATTTTTTTCTTACTTAGAAATACACAAAAACACACCAAATTCTTTTTTTTTATTGTATAATTCATTTTAGTTCCAAGTAGTAGTCCACTGTGGTAGACTTACTAGAGCTAGTGAAAAGTAACTTTACTTTCAAGTTTTGGCAATTATGAAAAGCTACTGCAAAAGTTCAAATACAGTAATGGGAGAGATGGCTCAGTGGTTGTTCTTGCAGAGGACCTGGGTCTCAGCACTCACAACTATCCATACCTCCAATTCCACGAGATTTGATGCCCTCTTCTGACCTCCATGGGCAACAGGCATGTAAATGGTACACAAACATGCAATCAAAACACTCATACATATAAAATAAATCTTTAAATTATTCAGATACAAGAGCTGGAAATATGAGTCAACTGTTAAAAGCATATAGTGCTCTTACAGAGGAGCCAAATTTGGTTCCCAGACTCACACCAGACAGTTCACCAGTAACTCTAACTTCAGGGGACCTGATGCCTTTCTGTTGCCTCTAGTAGAATCTGCATATGTATATGTATATATATGTATATATACATTCAAAAATAAAACAAACACAAAAACTTCAAGATAAACAATGTACAAGGACCTGGGAAGACAACTCATGGTTCCTTCAGCAAAGTGCTTTCCATGGTAACATATGGATCTGAGTTCAATCCCTAGCAACAATGCGAAAAAATAAAACAGAACAAAACTGGCCATAGTGACACTCCTGGTGCCAAAGACAGGCAGCCTCTTGTGGTTTACTGGCCAGACAGCTTAGTCCACTCCACAAACTAAAGGTAAAAGTAAGACCTTGTTATGGAAAATAAAAAGACACATTGTAAAATGGAGCTACTGGAGGTAGGCTTCTGGTCTCCATATATGTGGAGTTTTACACACACACATACACAATCCCCCAATCTACCCCCAAAAGAACTCAAAACAAACAAAACAAAAACCAAACTTAAGTACATGTGTTTATACACTAGATTTATGTTCATTTGGGTTCACACCTGTATGTGACACTACTAAATCATACAGTTTTTGCATCATAAAGGTTTTGCATTCTTTGCAGGAATATACGTGATTTTCAGTTATTGTTACGTTTTCATTAGCATCTGTGAATGTTTGGGCTTTGGGGGCATTTTATGTGTACGGTACATCAAAACTGAGTTTCCCTAATGTCCTATGACATTGAGCATGTCTTTAATGCTTACTTACACGGTGAGGTATCTAGAAAAATGGCTGAGTTTGCTTAAAGTGGTGGTCACGTGTACGGTTTAGTGACACTCATTTATCTTGTCTTTTGTGATCCTCTCCCTCTCTTGACATATCTATCTTTTGACAATAAGTGATCACTTGTATTATCATCCAATTCCCTTCATAATGACACCTGTAGCAGCACTTATTTTTTGCCTGGGATTTCAACTACCATTTTAGAGTGTTTCAAACTAACCACATTTCCTCCTTGACAACCTGCTGTGGCAGATGAACGCTAATTTGCCAGTGGTTCTCTCACCGCGTCACCTCTGAACCCACAAAGCTTGCAAAGGCCACTGTGGCACAACACACTGCTTTCTAGCGGGCCAAGCGATCTCCGCCCTGACATAGAGCAGCTACGACCGCCTCCGCATCTTTTTTTTTTTTTTTTTAAGGGCTCTCTCAGAACAAGCTGGAAAGGAAGGCAAAACTGCCATTCCTTCTGCTGGCAAGCCTCCGGGATCGGCGTGACGCAAACCTGGCATGCTCAGTAGAGCTCAATGCCCAGCTCGGCCGTGCACACCGCCCCGGGGCGTGAGCAGAGGCGGAGACAGGGGCGGTCGGAGGCTAGCACCACCCCTGTGGTGACTTAGTGCGGGTGTCGGTGCCGCTCACCTCCCGTGAGTCCAGCGGCGGCGCAGACCCGCTGGGGAGCGAAGTGGACGCGGCAGGAGGCGAGAGGCTGTGGGGAACCTGGGAGTGGCTGGGCGACTCTTCAGCACCGAGCTCCGTCCGGTGCTCGTCAGGGCCCAGGGCCGTCTAGGCCGGACAGCCACGGCGAGGCGCGGCTCCTGATGTCCACCGCCTGTCCTTCCTCACCTGGGCCGGGGTACTTGGCCGAAGAAACGACTCTGAGGTAAGTCAGCGCAGGGGGCCGGGGCCGCCGCTAGTTTCCTGACAACTGGTTTCCCGGAAGGGGCGGGGGCCGCACGATTTCTGCGCGTGGACCGGAGGGCGGGGCTCGTTTCCGGAAGCCGGGTGGTGGGCGGGATTTCTAGCGTACCCGGAAATCAAAAAGCGCGGGACTTGCTGTCATCTAGAGGGAGGTTGGACCCTTCTTGAGTTAGTTCTAGCTCAAGTCGCGACAGAAGGTGCGCCGTGGCCACGGTTACAGAGTGACTGTAGAACAGGTGTTTCTCTCTTACTATTATTTTGGTAGAGATCACGGCTTATTGACGCGTTAATGCCCTAACAAGGATACCTAAGTGTAACCTATCCACCATGGACCTAACAACTGTTTAAAAGAGTCTATTACTATTGTACTTGGGGCAGCAAAAGGTTGCAGAGCAGTAGCTTTCATCGTTATCTTTGAGGTGAGCTGACAAATAAGGAGTGATCCACGACCTCAAGGAGAGACCAGTGTCAAACATCCAAGGCTTCTCTGGTCCTCCGTAGCATTCGCTTTTGTGCATTGCTGCAGACTCTCTCTAAGTTATGAAAAAGATAAGCCACATCCTCCTCACCTGAGCGTTGGACAGAGCCTCCTGAGGCTAGCTGGTGCCGTCCAGGGTGACTCATTCTTTCTCTTGCAGATCATTTGATTTCCTTGCTCTTTTAGTTTGTGCAAAGAATTGAAGCTTTATTTTTAATCAAGGAATGCCACAAAAGACCTTTAGAAAGGTATTCTTAACACATGAAGACTCGGTGGCAGAGTGAACTTTGGGGTGTAATGACTTAGTAATTTTGTAGCCACTATCAAGATGCTACTAAGGCCTGTTAGAAAGGTGAACTATTGCCGCTGTATTGTATACAGAAATATACTAGTCTTATTTAAAATGAAACTTGGGATGTTTTGTTTGTATTACTGACAAAACAGTAGTAACAATTCTTAACTTTAATTTTCATTTTTCTCTTTCTTTGCTAATTTGAGCCTTATGCATAATGTTAAGCTTTCAGGACTGTGTTAAGAAATATGCCCGAGGTAACAAGCTTACAAACTGGGCACGGTAATGTTACTAATTAATTTGTGACTCCTTTATTATCTTCAGTAGGATTTGGAGATTGGATATTATTCTGGCAGATGTGTCTTACTATATAAACATAGATATAATACTTATTTTTTAAACATAATTTTCCTAAGTTTTTAAAAATTTAGTCTATACATTCCCATGTTTTTAAAATGTAAAATATTCATTTAATCTGGGTAAGTCTGTATGATTTTATTTGTTTGTTTGTTTGTTTGTTTGTTTGTTTATTGTTTTTGAGACAGGGTCTTTTTGTGTAGCCCATACTATCCTGAAGCTAGCTATGTAGAAGACCAGGCTGGCCTTGAATCCCCATAGGTCCACCTGCCTCTGCCTTCCTGGTGTTTGGATTGAAGGCTTGTGTCACTATGCCTGGCAACAATTTCATCTTTGCATCCGGGGTTTTCAAAAGATAAATTATTAGTTGTATTTCTAGACAAATAGTATGTATTAGAGACTGAGAATGGAAGCCTGAGAGAAGGGGTTAGGTTTGAATTCATTCAATTTAGGTGAATCATTTAACCTCAACTTTTAGTTTCTTAATTTATAAATTGGAAATAGTGGTTAATAAATTAATTCACAGATCACAATGTGCTAATGTATTTGATCATACTTTGTTAAATTTTATTCCACCTTTGTCTTTTATTGGTGGTTTGATTCCTTGTTGGCTGCCCTCTTTGTGAACAAAACACAGGCTGTTTTAATTAAAGAACCTTGGAGACAGTGAGCCTCTGATATGTCACTTACCTGAGTAAAATCAGAATTCTGTTAGGGAGGAAGCAGGGCACAGCTAGCAATTGACGTTCTTTGTCCTTCTGCACTTATTATACATGATTGTTGTTGAAATTTTAAGTGAAAATTAATTGGGTTTTAAAAGGAGTCCAGCCATTAAAAGATGAGCGTGCGCGAGTGCACACACACACACACACACACACACACTTGGTTTTTTTTTTTTTTTCTGAGACAAAATCTCAGTGTGTAGCCCTGACTGGTCTGGAACTCACTAAGTAAGCTTTAAAGAACCATTTGAGGGGAGACATGCAGGCTCTGTAAACATCTCATAACAGGAAGACTCAAGATGGATTCCCCCAGGAAATGAGAGTACTTGGACACCTGGCAGACCAGAAACCTCTAGTCTTTCCGACTAGGATTTGAAAGAATGTGGGTGGAGAGAGAGGGGTATATTGTACGATGACGGAGACTGGCAGGTCCTCATGCCCCAGAAAATCTACAGGAAAGGAGGAATCAGGCCTGGGACACATGTTAATGTTAACACCTTCTATCTCCACACAGTCTCATAGATCAGTAGGAACTTGCTAGTTAGTCTCAATTCAGTGTATAAGTGCTAATTCAACATATAAGCGCTCTGGGGCTGCTTTCTACTTCGGTTCCTTGGGGATGGCAGAGCCTTCAGGGACAGCTTTTACTTCGATGGCAGATGACCATTGTAGTTATACCCCTTCTCATTATACATCATCTTAGAAGTGTTTTTTTTTTTTATACTTGGAAATGCACCCGCGTACACAGACCCAGTGACACAGTGGGTTCTCAGAATCCTGGTGTTTATAAATATAAACAACAGGGCTAACTGTAGCCATAGCCGTAAAGCAGGCAAATGTATTTTCACGTGTTATTTTCTCATAAAATTCTTTGCCAGTCCCAAGATGGGCTGTTATTTCCTTTCAGAGATGAGGAAATGGAGGCTTGAGTAAGTTCCGTAAAGTCACAAGGCAAATGAATGAAGAGTTCATATTCTCAGAAGGAAGATTCTCACTCTGCACTGCCTTAATGGTTCCTGCTAGCACACCTCCCTGCCTTCTTCACTCCTCAGCCTTCACCCCTCCATCTGGGCCACCTCCTCTCTTTGCTCCTACCCCACTGCTAGTCTTCTTGATAGACAATGCCTGAGACATGGCATAGGCACCCTATGCTTGTGAGTTATTATTTGTTCCTTGAATAACTCTAAGATAAAGTGTCTGCAACTTGTAGACCTGTGAGTTCCTAATAACAGAAAACTTCTCACCTAAACTATCCAAAACCTTTAACACAGTGCTAAGAGGATTCCCAGAACCAAGGCCTGATAAATAGTGATGCCTCTGTACTTCTTGATACTATTAAATGTCTTAGATTTTCTGCCAGAGTGAAGCACACTGGGGCCATGTCTTCCACTGTGAACAGAGAGTTTCCTAGGGGATGACAGAGCCCTCGGGAAGAGCCTTTACTTCATGGGAGATGATTATCATAGTTTCATGGCTTTTAAAGATATCACCTCAGATATGTTCTTTGTGTACTTTGTAGGTCTCCTGGATTTTCTGTTTGATCATTACTTCACCTATTAGGTACTCATTAAAATGCACTGCAACCCATAAACTACTGTTTTCTTGTATTCTACCTTCCTTCCTTTGGAGTTTTCTGTCTTCTTTTCACAGCCTTCAGAGTGGGAATAAACTTGGCTTGTGTTGAGTGGGCACTGTTTATAGTGAGTAACCTGGTATGTGTAGGTGACCAAGAAGATGTTGAACTCAGTGAAGCTGTGGCATTCATCCTGGCACTGTGGCTGTTACATACCTACCCACTAGCACACTCTCCTTCCAGTCCTCCTCCTGAGGAACACTGAATGCCACTCAGCAGAGATAGGCAGATCCCATGAGTCATCATCCTTTTCCCGTCTTGCTGTTCAGCATTATTCTTTTTATGTTCTTCCAGTCCCTAACTTTGCTCAAAATTACTTGAGATATATGTATTTCCTAACATTATTCAATAGACTATTTACCTGATATTCTTACCCCATGCTTGTTACTGCTGTCTGTTATATAAACAGAGTCTAACTCATAAGGAATGTTTTATTTTGTTATTTATACTTTGGGTAAGGGAACTCATGTCTAATGTGCCTTGAAGTTGTTTTGTTGGCTTTACCATTATAATCTAAGAATGTCATCACACTATGACCTCTTTCTACATAAACATTTTAGTTTGGGGAATCCTGCCCTAAAGAGAATGTCCAGGACCCTCTAAAGACAAAGCCCAAATTTATTTGAAGATGGCTCAGGTTATGAATTAACAGAGAATCTTATTTAACCTTATTCCTAGTCCTAGACACATATATTCATTGGTAGTGACTGCTTCTTATTTTTTCCAGTCCATCTTTCCACTAAGAAGCAGTATGCTGAGAAGGTCCAGGTGATGAGGAAGGCCTCACTCCAACCCTCTTGTATTGCAGACCACCTCCACTCCTAACCTAGGGCCATACTAGTAAAGTTGTCACCATACGAGTCATTACCCATAGTCCAGTGCTCAACTTTTTGTCCCTAGAATTTTTTCCTTTCCACTGTTCCAAACTGTGAATTTCAGTGGATGCTAAATTCATGTTAGCTAACACGTGTAGCTTCCTGACAAAATGTTTTCAATTTTTTTCTAGTGTTCCATGATTCCAGAAATGAAGCATCCACTGGAATAAAAATCACAGTCTTCTGTAACTCTTAGATGAACAGCTCATGCCACAGATTATACTTCTCAAGAAAAACAAAGGCACTCCACATATGTGGTACTTTGTGAGGTGGGGAATTCTGAGTCAGGACTCTACATTGTTCTAGCTGGTCTAGAACTCACTGTGTAGTACAAGCTAGCCTCAGACCTTCAATTCCCCTGACTCAGCCTCCTAGGTAATGGGATTCCAGGAATGTGCCACTATCCATGGCAACATGTAGTGGTTTTTTGGTTGGTTGGTTGGTTGGTTGGTTGGTTGGTTGGTTTTTTTTAAATCATGGTCTTTTTGCCCTGAGATATCCTCTCTGATCGTTTTATAGGACACAACACTAAGCAAGACCCAAAAGTGGTGTGTTGGAGATCCTGAGCATTCAAAATGCAACCAGACATGTCCTTGGACAATATTAAGATGGCATCCAGTGACCTGCTGGAGAGGAAAGACCTAGACAGCGGAGGCTTCGGGAAGGTGTCCTTGTGTTACCACAGAAGCCATGGATTTGTCATTCTGAAAAAAGTATACACAGGGCCCAACCGTGCTGAGTGAGTCAGGGGCAGAAATGGGTTGGCCCTTTGCTAGCTGCACAAATAGTTATCTCCATCTGTGTGGCTAAACACATGGAGTTTTAAATGAGGCTGACCTTCGGGGAGACTTGACACACTGGCTAGATGAAGGGTGACCATAACTCTTAGTACTATTTTGGATGAGGACTTTGGAGTTAATTAAAAAGATATTGATGCTTGAGAAATGTATTGGAAAGACATCACTGGAGATAGAAAGCTGGGTAATAAGGGAGGCAGTGAAAAGAAAAGAGCCATGGGTGCAAACACCTAAACCTGAAGTACAAAAAAAGGCCAATTCTGTCTCGGAAAAACCCAGCAACCTGTAAAAGGCTGTAAAAGGTGGAGGGCTTCTCTCTTCCTCGGGCTAGTTTGAGAGCGATGCCTTTTTTACTGTGTTTTCCAGCTCAGTCTCCATCAGGCCAGATCAATGCTGCACTTTTTATTGATTGATTTGCATGTCATGAGTGCCCGGCTTCCAGTTCCTAAGGCAAGACAGGAGGGAGGCGTTTAGATGAGGAGAAGCCTCTGCCCTCTAGGACCTGTCTGCCTGGAGGAGACCAGAGCAGAGCTGATTGTGACAAATGTCTGCAACATGCACACACTGCGGGGACACTGGAGCTCCTTAGGCACCTCGATAGAACTGCTTGCCCTGCCCTGCTCAGCCTTGCTCCTTTCCTGCCCACAGGTACAATGAGGCTCTCTTGGAAGAAGGGAAGATGATGCACAGACTGAGACACATTCGAGTTGTGAAGCTACTGGGCATCATCATAGAAGAAGGGAATTACTCCCTGGTGATGGAGTACATGGAACAGGGCAACCTGATGCACGTGCTAAAGACCGAGGTAGGTGGCACCGTAAGGCAGTCTGTGCTAATGGGTCAGATACTAGCTGCTCTTGGGGTTTTATCTGTAGCTTTCTGGTTGGGAATTTTGTTTTACGGTTTGGACTTCCTTGCTTGCTTATTTGATTGCTTACTTGCTTGCTTTCTGGCTTTCTTTCCTTACTTTTGTTTGTTCATTTGTTTGTTTGTTGAGGTTTTTGTTATTATTGATTTGAGACAGGGTCTCTTTGTGTTACATAGGTCTATCTTTTCTACAACTCGTATATAGACCAGGTTGGCCTTGAACTCACAGAAATCCACCTACCTCTGCCTTCTGAATGCTGGGATTAAAGATGTTTGCCACCACAGTTGGCTTCGTTTGGATTTCTATGTCTCTTCTAGCCTTGGGGATTGTCTTTCCCACTCAGGCCCATTTATATTTCTGTATTACCACTTCAAGGTTCCCTCTTTGCTGTGCCGCCTGGCCTCTGTCACCAACCCAGAGTTGACAGATAGACCTTCCTTCAGTAACACATGATCTCATAGATATATGTGTAAATTATAACAAATTTGAGTTGATGAAAATGTCTATGTTGTAAATGACAGGTAATAATGAACAAAAGTGTGTGCACTGTTGTTGACTCTAAGAGAAATTGGGATATTAGCAATTGTACGATGAGACCATTTAAAAAGTTGCTGTAGGCTAAATCTAGAATATAAACCACAGCAATATAACATTTCAAATCAGGGGAAAGATGAATTTATGAAAACAAGACAATCTTTTAAAGTTTCTGTACGGATTAGGATCTGAGTCTTGCTAGTTCTTCAGGAGCCCATAGCTGATACAGCACAGGCAAGTACAAGAGGCAGGAGAAGCACTGGAGCATATGATGTGATGGATGGTGTCTGATAGACACACAGTCGCCTGCTGTGGAACACAGGCGAGGTGCCCACCCCAACTGAGCTAGGTGGGAAAGGTACCCCTCAGAAGCACAAGCTGAAGCAGATAACTAAGGAGTGAATGTTCCAGGCACAGAGAATGACATGTGAGAAGGAATTAGGGGATGCCAGTTTGTAGAACTGCCAGTCACCAACTTTCGCCAGAGCACAGATTGCGTGTAAGGGGCAGAAGCATTTGGCTGCCTTTGTAGCAAATATTTCCCCTCCCTCCATCTCTCCACACCTTACAACTGTCAAATCAGCAGACCTCTCAGAAACATGAACGTAGTGGGAAGGATAAAAGATGATACACATGGCACTGAAGTTTTACCAGATGGTTCTCTTCTCCCCAAACCAGGTAAGGTCAGCCATGTGACAGAAGCAGCTATTTTGATCCAGAGATAAGTCATCTGTGATGAAAGCCTTGTGTGGGGTCAGCCAATGATAAGCTTCACAAGATAGGGACAAGAAAAGTCAAGAGAAGCAGGAAGAGGTTGGGTAGGGGACAATCATGCCTGCTAATGAAGCTTCCAGAAAGTATACTGATGAAGACAGGAATAGTCTCTGTTGCTATTTTTAATTAATCAGTTAATTTTTGCGAACAAGGACAATGGCAATGCTGCTCTCTAACTGTTAGACGCTTGTGCCTCAGCCTCCTTGGTATCTGGGACTATAGGTGTGTGCCTCCAGGTCCAGCCCTCTGCTCTCTTTTATTATTGTGGAAGTCAAGCTGCTGATGCTGTGGTTCTGTTACAACAGAAACAGATATGATGTGCAGGCTGTGGTCTGGTATGACTTGGGAATCCGAGCTCTATCCCCTTGACCTTCTAACTGTAAGCAAGTAACAGACACATAGAGGTTTTTAAGAATCATTCTGTCTGTAAGCTGATTTTAGTATTAAGAAAACTGAAATGATACTCCTAAAACAGAAACATGCATTTCTTAAATAATGACATTGAGGTTGATATAATTAGAATATAATCTTAAGAGTGACCTGAGATTCTACAAAGATCTAAAATGTCTGCTGCCAGGTCACCACATAAATACTAATGGACCCTACATGGTATCATGCATGTGATAGAGATGCTTATGTAGTGGGTGGCACTGTAAGCATCCTTCCATGAACTCTATTTCTCTTTGTGTCATTTCACATTCCCATTTCCCTGGTGTTGCTATTCTTATGTAAATACCTATGTCATATCACCACAGTATGCCATGGGAAAGTTTGTGGATTTGCTGTTCATTCAAATATTCTAAACATCATCTTAGATTTATGGAGGCAATCTTTGGAGTAGTAGGAGAACTAGAAGTAATAGTAACAATAATAATAAATGTCATTGTTTGCAAGGAGTTTGGTTTCATGGTTTTTTAAAACATGAGCTTTTTGTTTTTTACATAATGTACTAAATAATTTTATAGAATGGATGGAATACCAAGTAGTCCCAGGTTATTCTATTATAAATGACTTATTTTTTAATATATTTCATCATTATCTCCTCCCTTTCCTCCCTCCAACACCTCCCATGCACTCACCCCCACCCCCTCAATTGCTTTCTCTCAAATTCATGGCTGCTGCTGCTGCTTCTTCCTCCTCCTCCCCCTCCTACTCCTTCTCTCCCTCCTTCTTCTCCCCCTCCTCCTCCTCTTCTTCTTCCGGTATTTTTATATGCATATAGATTGACACAGAATTTATTTTTATTGTTTGCACTAAACAAAATACAGCATTAGTGTTTGGCTATCCTGTTGATTCTGGCATAGAATCTTTCTTGAAAGGAGCTTGTTTCCCAGGGACAGCAGTGCTGTGGACCACATGGTGGGAGGAACCTGCTAACACAACTACCCTTGGGCCCTCATCGCACCCTCATGGATGGAGTAGTTGTTCTTGCCTATTAGATTGCCTCTCCACTTCATAGACTTAATGTGTTATTTCAGATAGGTGTCCCACTTTCTGTGAAAGGAAGGATAATCGTGGAGACCATAGAAGGCATGTGCTACTTACATGACAAAGGCGTGATACACAAGGACCTGAAACCTGAAAATATCCTTGTTGACCGTGACTTTCACATTAAGGTAATCTACAGTCTGTACACTTTGAGAAGGCTGAGTAATTCTAGTTTAATTTTTCACTGGAAATCCATTCCTGTAGGTGATCATGGTAAGTGAGGACCTAGTAGCATGGTGCTGCTTGCAAGGCTGACATGGTATGAAAGATGCAGGCTTTACTGGGTCAAGAGAAGATTGTAAGGATACAGTGATGAAAAAAACTCATCCCTGGTTCCAGGGTTTTGTTTCCTTCTGATTAGACTTGGAAATGGAAGCATTCAAGGGTTGCTGTCCTCACTCTGGAATGGGCTGTCTGCTCATCATTTTTCTCAAGAAATCTTGTGACTGAGACTTCTCTACCATATAAAGGGAGTGTGAAAGTGTGTGGAGAATATTCTTAGAATTCCTAAATGGCTTAAAAGCAGTGTAAATCAACCATTTTGGCCTCAGAATCCTCCACTTCGTGGAGCTAGAGGCATGGTTCATCGGAGAATACTAGTCTCGCACAGCTGAGGTTCTAGGTTCAGTCCTAGCACTCCAGGACAAAGACTTCTGCTTTGACATCCTGTTTATGTCTATTTTCATTTAAAAAATCAGTTTCCTTTTGAAAATTCTTTTTGTCATAGCAAAGGTAATAAGGAAAATGTAGCCTATTTAGGGGCTACATTTAACTGAGGGAAGCAACAGCACATATAATTATTCTTGGTAGTTAGAATCCAACCTGACTATAAGATCTGGATCAGAGATCATTCATGTCGTGATGGCTATTAATCCCAATGTCTTTTATTCTTTCAATTCTGTTCATTCTTCCAATTAAGAACTTAGCCTTTGTGATCTGGCTTAAAATCTGTGAATTTCAGGTAAGCACATACTCTATCTAGCTCCTCCCGAAATGCTTCTTAGAAACAGAAGACCATCTCCTTGTATTTTCCCGTAACTATCCTGCTCTGCCTTTTCCCCTTGCCACGTTCTTCCTTGCTGTGTCTTACTTGGTTAGCTTTCTCTGCCTTTATGTGTTTCGATTTCCTTCTCTCCATCCTGTCTTCTCCTAGGTTCAAACTGCCAACTCAAAACAAGTAGCAGCAGTGTTCTCACCATCAGGGTGGATTTGGGATGCTAAGAAAAACAGCCATGGTCCTCTGGATGCTATTGGGCAAATGAAAGGTGTGGTAACTAGTCTCTATCTTCCCTAGAAAACAAAAAAACAAAAAAATATGCAAAGTAAATGAGAAATTAGCACACAGTTTTGTTGTCTTGCCCCAGTCTTATTGCTTAAGAATTGAGATGCCAAGGCTCCAGCAAGATAGCTCAGCTAGTAAAGGTACTTGCTGCTGAGCCTGAAGACCTGAGTTCAATCCCAGGACCCACCTGGTGAGTGGAGAGAAAGGACTTCTGTAAGTTGTCCTCTGAGTCACACATATATCTTGGCATATGTGCACCCCCTGCCCCTGAAATAAATAAATGCTTAAAAGAAACTTTAAAAAAATAATTGATACACCAGCATTTTACATGAACATTCTGAGAGTCTATTGCAAGGTAGCTATTCTAGATAGGTCTGTGTAGCCACTGGAAAATTGATTGTGCCACACATGTACTGGATAAGAATCAGACTTGATTTCATGAAAATGCAGCTTGATTTACTTGTAGCCTTTGTAATAAGTTCCATTGGCCCCTCTTCTTTTCCAGATAGCTGATCTTGGTGTGGCTTCCTTTAAGACATGGAGCAAACTGACTAAGGAGGAATTTAACAAGCAGAGGGAAGCGAGCACCACCACTAAGAAGAACAACGGAGGCACCCTCTACTACATGGCACCCGAACACCTGAATGACATCAATGCAAAGCCCACGGAGAAGTCGGACGTGTACAGCTTTGGCATCGTACTTTGGGCAATATTTGCAAATAAGGAGCCCTATGAGAGTAAGACATTGATACTCATGAGATTTTGATAGTAATCAAAACTGTTAAATGGGGGTTGGTGAGATGGCTCAGTGAGTAAAGACATTTACCACTGACCCTGACAACCTGAGTTCAGTCCAAACTCTGGGACTTATGTGGAGAAGGAGAGAACTGACTTCTGAAAGTTGACCTCTGACTTCTATGCATGCACTGTGACATGCAGATGTATCTCTCCTCTCTCTCTCTCTCTCTCTCTCTCTCTCTCTCTCTCTCTCTCTCTCTCTCTC